AATTAAGTTTAATTCAGGAATAGGTATAACCTATTGTAAACCAGTCGAAACTGCATTTTTATGCCTTCTTTCTTGCCTCTGTCAAAAGCATGGCATAGAGGATGAGTACTGTGACTTAGTGTATGCCATCATTAAAAGCATCAGGTGCAAATTCTTTAATGAGAATGTGAAGAAGCTGCTGCAGCAACAGAGTAAAAATACTTGAGCCCTGGTTCTCCATGTCTTTCCTGATTTATGCAGGTTAGTTGGAACCAACTGCAAATGTCTCATCTCCTCTTGGGCCAAGAATCAGTAGGGGAGAAAAGCCAGGGATTATTATGTGACTTTGCCCTCTGGGAAAATGTTTTTATCAAGCTTCCAGATAATGCAGTTACTCCTATAAACCAAAATCTTGAAGACTTCGTAGCAGTGTGGAGTTTTAAATGTAAAATACTACTCAGGCTGCATTCATCCACTTATGGGGTTAATCCACTTGCCTATGTTTTATATTCTTTTTTTAAAAGAAACAGAATATTTTGCATGAACTGCTTGTATTTAGAAGTATATAAAAGTAATAGAATACAATAAAATAAGTAACTCTGTAATCAAGTATCAAGGCACGTTTCATTTCACAGCTTTCATGTTTCTAACGGATGGGTGTTATTCCACATTTGTCAAATATTTGAAGGGGCTATTTCAGTTATTCTTTGGCTAGTATTTTTACAACTGCCCAAAGCTAATTTTAACTTATTTTGGGTTGTCTTAGCTTTCTGATTTGCCATAAAATTTCTTAAGGTAGTGAGGAAATGCGACTCTTCTTGTGGAGGAGTGTATCATTGCATCAAAACTTGTCATCCACCTGGGCTAAGAAAACTATCTGTTTGTTCCCTAGGGAAATGCTTCTAGAAGGTAACTGGTTTTTATGTAGTGTACCCTCCTAAATTAAGTTTTTTAGTTTAGTGTGGCCTGAGGCAAAATGTTTCAGGATATTTTAGGAGATTCTGGTAATCTAATTAATCTTATAAAAATAATACTAAAATTCGTTCTTTATTTCCCTATCCACGAAGTATATGGTGTTCCCTCCCTTACATAGCTCCATCCCTGCACTATCAGTGGCAACTGTCAACTGCATCATTAAGGGGGACAAAGAGTGGCTCGGTGCCATTCCAAGGGGTGGTGGGAACTAGTGTCTTGTTCCACTAGAGGCGGAGCAGGTGAGGTAGCCCTCCTTGTGGAAAAACTCTCCCAAGACCTGAGGACTTTTAGTGAAGAAGAGGTGAATGCAGTTGACACCAGCAAGCATTTCCTTCCTGTCACAGCAGCTAAGGCTGTGATTCAGTAGTTGTCTTCAAAACCTGTCAAGGCAAAACAGAGGAACGGGGCTTTGCAGTCATCGAGGCTCCATATGGAAGAGTCTCAACAGCCTTTCGGTTCCTGGATAGTGCAAGTCAGTAACTGAACTCCAGCTTAGAAGATGGACTTCCCAATCTCCTGCCCAGGGATGGAAAGCACTGGCAGCTGCAGCAGACTGCCGCTAATCTACATACCTTGGGTCAACGTCACAGGGTCAGGTGGCTGAAACGTGGTGTTATCATGGGGTGCTCCCTTGTGTAATATATATTCTGCAGACACTCTGGAGGCTTTTTCCTCTGAAAGTGGATATGCCGCCATAGCTGTAATAAAAGCTATTCAGAACTGCACAAGTAAAGCACTCCATGCTTCCTACCTTGCAGATGTTATTTTATGTACCTCTTGTTTTTATTTAATTCCTATTAAGTGTTTGTGTTGATGAGTAATTAGAATCGGGACTGGAATGCCATCCTTTTGAATAAGCCATTATTTTGTTTAGATTTTTTTTTCTCCTAGAATCCATTCATATTTCAAGGTACTGGAAGGCAAGATACTCTGATGGCCATCTTTGCAGAATATATACCTGAATGAATGAGGAAGTAGTAATTTTAGTTAGCACTATATATAAAAAAAAAATAAAAAAGAAGGCAGTGCAGTGAGCTTAGTTTTTCCTTTTTTATCTGTCATAGATGTAAATAATTCACACATACAAGCACGGGAAGAAGTTGGCAGTTTGAAACTGTGACTACATGACTGTTGTGGGATAATGTAAAAATTTCCTGTGTGCTTCAATTTGACATTCTTTAGAAAAAGGGTGGTTTTGCTGAAGTATAAACCAATTAAAAGTTAATGTTGTTTTTCACTGGGCACCCATGCTAAACTAGAATTTTCATGTATTTCCTGTGTATGCTTACGTAATTAAGCATCCACTAATTTTTTTCTCTTTGGGAAATACTTCTGCAAATCAACACTCCATATATGAAGAGTTAAGATCATATCATCTGTTGTTTAAGGTAAGGATAAGGACAGACATTATTATTATTTTAGAATAGATTCTTAATCCTTTGTTCTGTGAAGTGTTGACGTTTTCATTGGAGTTAAAATATGTTGCATGTTTACAGAAAGACTGAAATCTCGATATGTGGTCCTATCAATTTTAATTATTTGAATCATTAGAACATCTAATTTTTTGCTTAAGAGTACACGAATGTACCATTGAATCTGTTTTTTAAGGTTTTTTCCAGTTTAATGTCTGAATCCAAATTCATAAAAGAGTTGGAAAAATGAGATGTCTGAGCTATAGGATTCACGGGGATTTTATATGAAGCCTATTTAATCAGGATAACACTGTTATTAATATTCATAAAGTCAGCTGGAACACAAATGACAGACTATGGAGCCTAAAATTTTTTACTTGTGAATTTATTAAAAGCAGCTTAAAAAATTAATGGAATTTAAGTAAAGTTGACGAAAATGAAAATCTTATGTTAGCAGAAAAAATCTTTATTAGAACTTTCTCTAAGTCCATCTTGCATTGATATCTTTGACAGATTTCACTGGTACTTAAAGAAGAAAGATGCATGAATGGTCATTTAAAAGGATTTAAACACATTGGCACATTAATTTTTACATGAATAATAAGTAGTTTCCAAAAGCAATTAACTTACAGTGTACAAGATTTGAATAGAAAAATAGGACTGTGACATCAAAGGGCAAAGCAAATGTGCTGTACATTTTAAACTTTTAATAATATGACTTCTTAAAATAATTTATTCCATTTCCACTATAGGTAAAGTAACAGTGAAGGTATTTGTATACAGTTTGGGTTTGTTTTGAAGAGATCTGGAACAAAGAAATATTTTGATGCCAAAGTGCTATTGGTAAAGAACAATTTCAGGCTTTTAAAGTGATCAGGTGCTTTTGAATCGAGCTTTCTTAGAGTCAATTTCTGTGTGTGGAAAACAGTCATATACTCACTACAGCGTGTAATTTTTCTCCCATGCTGCTATATGCAGCACTGGGAAGCTTTTGTTATTTCTGTAGAGGGCAAAGTAGGTAGATCTGGGATTTCCTTCATTAATAGGAAGATGCTCGTTAATTTATATTCCTATTTGTAGGCAGTTCTGTCCTTCAATATTTGTGTGAATTTTATGTGACTATTGCATATTATATTCAACAGATAAGGACAACTATTTTTTTTTAGCTTTGTATGCATGATGTTCAAGTAGCAGTCTTAACAGTAATGCGGGTTGAATAAATAGGTAGTGAATAAGGAAATTAGGATTTAAAATTAACTCCAGATTTTGGGTTACAGTTTCTTTTTGCATTTTCACTTTTGTCTCGGTCCACCACTGTACTTTATTTTAACCTCCAGCTTTAATTTCTTTTGATTATTAGACAGATTGATTATTAATAGGTTGTCTTCAAATGAAAGTAAAGAAAAGCTTTAAAATAATTGTATTTAATTTTTCTGATGATTCCTCCTGGGAAAATCTTCATGGTCAGATTCTGATTGTTGTTGATGCAGTAGAGTTTAACACTGTCTGAATAATGATGGTTCAGTAAGTTTCGGTTCTAAAAATACCTTATGTTTGAAGCACCTACTGTAAAGGTACATCTTGAATGATATGTAAGTGTTGTGCATAAGTTAGATGCCTGTTGCAGCGTTTGTGTTCAGAACAATTGATTTACATACTTAGTGTATGGAATATTTTGTTGTTCTTTTTACTAACATTTTTATTTCTTATAATAGGGAAAATATATTGCAAACTCTAGTGAACCTCTAAAGGTCTTTCTGTTTGCCTTCAATCGATAGGTTGCCTTAATCTGATATCAGCAATATTTTTATTTTCTGTTTGTGTAAACCAGAAAATTCCTATTAATTAGCAGAACGTGCTTCAACCTATGAAGAAGTCGTCTGTAAAATGAGCCTCTTGACTTCTGTCTCCAATTATTCCCGTGCTATAGTCTATTATTTCCAGGAGAGGGCAGCATTTTCCTACATCAGGTACATGAAAGCACATGCCCTGCTTAGACTGTCAATGTTTCTTGTAATTACTCCCAGTATATTTGTTGCTTGCTTATGAATTAACTTGCATTTATGGAACTAAATCATTCCAATCATTTAATTACACCTGAGGAGCTGAACTATAATTGCTTGCTTCCAACTAGGATCTGATATGGCTTGAGCAGTATTAATTTGGTGTTTACTTTTCTGAGTGCTAAAAGCATTAAAATGATTGTGCAATGGGATTACATTTTACTAATTGCTGGCATTCATTAGCTGGGTAAATGGCGAGGAAGAATGACTGTATATTGTGGAGGGATAAAATTATGGTTTTAAATAGTATATTACTAGGCACATTAAGGCCCTAAGACATGTTTTAAAATACTCTAGAGGTTATTAAATACCGTATTTTCTTCATGTCTTGCTATATGAATATCTTATTAAAATACTGCAATTATTATGAACCTTTTTTAGGGAAATGGCTTCATTGACAGAAACCTATTTCTTGATATTAATAACCTTCTATATTTTCAGCTAATCCAAAAGTAAATGAGGAACTTAGGAAAAAATTGCCAACTCCAAATCAACACAGTTACACAGAATTGAAAAAGAAGCGTACAGCTTCATTTGAGGGAGTCTTGTAAGGAACGCAGTGTTCTCCGATATGAGGTGAAGTTGTTATTTTTTTTGTTAAGACCTAAGCACATAAACTCATACACATTTTTTTTTCTTACGCACATTTATAGTTAACAACAAATATGAGCTAAATATGTATGCTTGAATGCTTAATGTAAATCTCAGTGTTGAATCTTAAGTGTTCGCATAATTATTTTACTTTTTTATGATCTCAAAGATAAAAATGAAGACATCTGCCTTTTTGGTGTTGTATAGGAAAAAAATTTCTGCTGCTGCTTTATTAGTTAAAACGTATGTCTTGGTATAATATTCTTGAAATTTAAAATGTGTACATAATTTTTTTTTTTTTTTTAACTCTTATATTTGTCGGCACAATGACAACTCTCTTGATATTTTCATGATCCAGTCACTGCCTCTTCAAGGAATATGCTGTATCTTTTTAATAAATGTGGAAAAAATATAGCAGGGAAAACATACAAAATAAGCACAACTACGTAGTTAAAGATAAAAAATTGTCCTTTGTACAGTACATTTTAAGAGATGCTTGAGTAAATAATAGAATTTGTGTTAAGCTTACTATATTAGCAAGATTACTAATTTATTTAGATTTCCTGGACATATAGAATATAGTTGATTTTTTAACATGTAAGAGAGCATAGATTTAACACTCAAAATGTTACCCGATAAGCATAACATTATACTGTAGGTCTTATTTTTGAGTATTGAGGGTTGTTTCTTTAAGATCTTTGATTATATGAAATACTGCGACTGTGTAATTAAATGTATAGTTGGAAGCAATATGTATGCAAATACTAGGATGCATTATTTAGCTGTTTAGAAAAACCTGCAAATTCAGAGTTGGAGTGGTCATAGGCCTCTTTACCGGCATTTTATCCAGGAAATTAAAGCAGGAGAAAGAATGTTGTAAAGTGAAGCGCATACCACCATCTGTAATAATTACCAAAGTGAGCAGTCTCATTGCCTCTAGCGGGACCACTCAGTGTGATTTGGGCCGTGCTCAGTAGTATGTGCTTCCAAGACCAGAGGTGTTACACGCAACAGAAAGCTGAACCAAACCATTATAAAAATTAGATTTGTGAAGAAAAAATATTTTACTGAGAAATATAATTTAGCACTGACTGTTAAAGTACACAGACTTCATTGTCCTGTTATAAATATTTTTAAATCATTTGTCTTGTAAATTTTCTGTCAGATGAAGGGAAAGTATAGGTGTGTTATAAGGTATTGTTTCAAGTTTATTTATCTAGAGTTTGCTTTATTTTAGCTCTGAAATCGTCAAGCAAAAACTGGACTCAGTGCCAGATCAAACAAGTTCAGAAGAACAAATGGAGAACTGGTCAAAAGGTAAGGACTTTTAAGATACTAATAAGGAACCTCAGGTGTTGTACCAGTGCTAGGCAGTGACTGGAATGTATTTGTTCTTGCCGATATATGACTGACTTTGGAAGAAAAGAGAAAAAAAAAAACCCACAACCACACACTGCCTCTTAAAAGTATTTGGGGTAACAGGAGAGCAGCTACAGGAATGTAAATTATCAGCTTTATTTTTGTATAACTTTGAGAAGTCTTATTTAAATTCTTAGCCTGTACATTGCGCTTTACTTTCCAGCCTTTTTTTCATAATGGGTTAACAACAAATCTGAAGTCTGTCTTAAAGTAACTTTCTTGGCTCTTCATGCCTGGCTAGAGTATGATTAAGCCATCTACTAATATTAGCGAGTTTCTCATTATTGCCTCAACCGAATATAGACAGTAAGGTAGGCTTGGAGGTATAGGGGGACTTGGTTAACTTGGAACTTCCGTGGTTCATGGAGTTTTCATCTCCATCAGGATGGAAGGATCTTTTTGTATTTGGATGACCAAAATTTTGCTCTCAGATACTTTCTTCTATGTTTCATGGCAGAAGGCAGAAAATTTAAAAAAAAAAAAAAAAAAAAAAAGAGAGAGAAAAAGAAGGACTGACCAACTTTACAGAAGAGAATTGTCAGAAAGTGGCTTGTGACTAGATAATAATGTGTAGATTGAAGAAAGGGAAAGACACAGGAAGCAGACCTTCAGTACATCATAAAAGGGTGGATTTTTTCCAGTGGCTATGTGTAGGTTAAAAAAATAAAATGGAATAGATGTGTCAACATCAAAGATGCCTCCTATATCAGAGCCTGACAGCATCTTGTGTATTTCCTTTTTTCGAATTTTGTACTATGTAGTCTTTCTCAAAAGATAATAAATGTCAAGTTTCTCATGAAGAGTCTGTTCTTTAGAAGAAAGAAGAAATACTCCATCTTGGAGATGATGTGTTTCTTACATATGTAAAGGAATTTCTGTCTATATTGTTGTGTAAAATAAACTACCTGTAGACCCCTTTTAGTTCATTGAATTTTGAGCTATTACTGAGTGAAGTTAAAAATGTTTTTGAATCATATACTCTGAAAACAAAAATAGTCATGGTGGAGTAACTTAGTAGAGAATTGTATTGTGTCAACTTCTACTTTAAATGTGTAATGGCTTTATCAGATTTAGTGTTTTTAGACCTTTAGGGGTCAGCATACCCTAAGAATGGTTCAAAAGGTTAACTTTTCCAAAGTAGGCAAGTGAATACCATAAACTGATTCTCTGGGAAGTATTTTCTGTCTAATTGCAAGAAATGGCATTCTGCTGGTGCTCACAGATAATTTAAAAACTGGGTAGTTACTGAGTTTCATGTGTATAATTTTTCTGATGCATTAAGTTAATATTTTGTGCTGTTTAGAAAGCTGTCTCTTCCAAGCTAACATGTATTTGTGTATCCAGTAGAAGTTGTTATATAGAGAAAAGTAAAATTGATACACTTTTTTTAGATCAATCATTAATAAGTCACATAGTTCTTTATGCTTTTAATCCTAGGGAAGTTGAAAAACGGGATTATGGATAAATCTTGTGTCATCATACTGGTTTGGATGAGGAATTTTTTTTTTTTTCTTAGAATTTTCTTTGGGTATTAACAATTAAATTACATTTTCTTATTATAAAGATAGTTGACAAATTACAACAACATAATGGTCAATATAGAACCATAGAATTGTTTAGGTTGGAAAAGACCTTTAAGATCAAGTCCAACCATTAAATATGTACCCTTGGTAGACATTTTGGTGCATTTTCTCATTGAACTACTAAATCAAAGCAACTTTTAATCTTCTGTTTAAATGTCTATGTTGAAGTGTGTACCATTTTGTGTTCTGCTTGCTTTGTTTTCTGTGGTATCTTTCCTTTTTGCGGCTGGTACTGTACTGTATCTAGCTGTCCCTTGCTTGTAACTTGGAAGTTTAAAAGCTGGTTTTAGAATAACCCTATAACAATTTATTTAAATATTTTTTTTATAACATACTGAAATGTTGGAGACTAAATTATTTGTCAAAAAATAAGGATGGCAAAACATGTCTAAGATTAAATTCATCTGACTAGATGAAAATTCAGCCAAGCAATGAGAATTTTAAAAAAACAGCAAAAATGTTAGGTACAGACAAGGGATAGGTTTATGGCGGTTATGTGGGATAATATGTAACCTGTTAATAGATGTTATAAAATAAAATACTTGAAAGAAAGGTAGTGTTTAAGAAGAGTGTATCTGAAGTGTTTGATAGTTGAGATTTTCTTTTTAACTTTCCGTGTTGTTTGGAATATAATATGCCTGTCTGGATTGGAGACATTTGTTTCTGTTCTGGTATATTAGGAAGAGTTAAAGAACAGTCTATGTCAAGGCTTATTATTTTGGGTTTGTATCTAATTCAAATGTACTGTTTATCTCCACAGCACCTAGTTTTTAATAGGATAGTGACTTTTTTCATTTCTCTCGAAGAATACTTGAGAGAATGCTTCGGGAGCATTGGCAGCAGGCCAGTGAAGACTCTGTAATTTCCAAATGAAAAATATTCAGCATCCAAGCTAGAAAGCCTAGGATGGTAGTCCATTATAAAAATAAACTTATATTGGCAAATAGGTGCATACCTTTCCATTGCAGTGGCGGGGGGGGGGGGGGGGGAGGGGGGGGAGCACACTGCACCTGGGTGGAGTTGTTACTTTAGCAGAGTTTACATGCATGACGAAAATTGCACAAACATGAATACTGTGAAAACACCAGAGGGAACCTGAAATTGGGTGCTTTTCATAACTTACATATACATTCAGGACTTGATATCTCAATTTTCCAAAAGAGTGAGCAGGATAGGAAAGTGGTGAGTGTGCAAATACTGGAGTTAAATTTGTGTCTCATTTGACTCATATCATGTACTGTGTTTGAATGGGTGCAACTATACTTGTTCTGTATTATGTAGTCTTTCAGTACTGTAATGTTTTTGTTTGTGTCATATTTCTGAACATCTATGATTTTTAAGGACAGGGCAGAAATTAGGTGAAGTCGTAGAATATCAAGTACTGTTTGGTCTGTTTTGACAACAAAATTATAATTTTGCTGACTCCAAAATGAAAAGCATTGTGTAATTATTATTCAGAATTTCCTAAAACAAGGTGATAGATTGATTATTCTTAATGGCCAAGTGGCTTGCTTCCTTAAAAGGTGGTTATTATATTTTTCAAGCATAGAAATAAATATATTTCTAAACCACTACTTAAAACACATATGGAAATGTAAGTCAATGAACCATAAGAATTTGATGTCAACTCTTAGTTATGATCCATGTAGACACTTTCACTGTAACTTGTTATCCTTCAAAAGAATGTTTGTGCGGCTTGTAAAAATACCTTAAAATTGCATGTCTGGAAACTGTAGTTCAGAGGAGACTCTAGCTTTAAAGAGATGTGGTAATGTAGATTGGAACAGAACTGCAAAATCAGCTTGTGCAGGGAAATTTGAACGTAAGTGTTCTATCTGGTAGTGAGCTGTTGTTTTCCAGTCTTGCTGCCTTCAGGAAAAATCAAAGAGGAAAAGAGATATGCAAACCTAATGAACAAGTTATGTATATACAGCTGCTCAGACACATGTGCACGTGATAAGCTTACACGTAGACAATTGTCTAATTGCATTGTGTGTTTGTGCATGCATTGGTCTTGCATGAATGCATGGTGCTTACTGTTAAGAATCTGGCCACAGCTTTCCTTGTATTATCATGGTCATGACGTGTATATGCCAGTGTATTGCTTACAAAAATGTTTTTTAGTTCTTTTGTTGTGTAGTGAATAATATTCAGCAAATAAAACCTCTCTAGAAATATTTTTGCATCTATTTACTCCCATTTATAAATTCCATTAATTGTCAGCCACCCCTTTTGCATTCGTGGTAATTGAGGCAATGTACAGTCATATGCATAGGTTAAGTAAAATGAATCATCTTTTTTTTTCTGACTTCCTAGAAATGAAAAGCCTGTTCCCCACCATGTATTTGTAGACTGTCTTGTTAGAAATAGTAAGTTTTCCTAGTTGTGTAATGATTTTAGGTTTTGTAATAGTAATTACAAGGACTTTTTGTCTGGAATGACTCTTCTGTGACTTTAACACACACACTAACGCACAAAGATGAAGGGGTAAAGAAACTATTGAGAGTAGCGTGGTGTTGTAAAGATTTTTTTCATCTGGGTCAAAAAGCAACTAATTGTAAAGGTGCTGCTTCCCGTTTCTCAAGAATACACCCATTACAGCTGTAAACACTAAAGAAAACCTGAAGTCCTTCTTCCAGTGCTATAGTAGAGACAGAATAAACCATACTTGTCATATTGAAGTCTGTTTCTTTTACATGCCTCAACAGGAGATACTGTGAGACTGTTCTTCCTCTCCTTCCCTCTTTTAGCAGTAAGGAATGCTGTTTACCTGGGTAAGAAAGAAGACCTGGATATTGCATGGGTGTGTATGCAGAAGAATCTCTGTGATATGCAGAGAGGCAGAGTCCTCTTCACGCATGTGGCTCAACTGATTAGTGTCTTCCATGTGTGCTGTGCTTTCAGCATCGAAGTCGCTGTGTGCTAGCTGTCAGAGATCCCTTTGCAACATTGCAAGGGTAGTTGCACGATTCTCTATGCAGTGTAGGAAGCAGAAGAGAGGTTGAGAGGATGATCTTGCATGAGTCAAACATAGGGAGAGTGGCTAGTGACTGTTGAGCAACACTAAGTATGGAAGATGAAGAAAACATCTTGTGTGGAAAAAGAGGGAATAGTGTGCCATGACTTAGAAGAGAAAAGGGAGCTAATGATAACTGAAAAATCATCAAATACTGTCTGGTCTTTCCTGTAAATACAATCACCCTTTCATGTGTATAAATACTCATGTCTCCTTTTTCCATCCCATTTCTTTCCTTGTACATTTTGAACAGTTAAATACAGTGCATTTCTGGCCAGGCTGCCTGCAGAAAGACTCCT